CCATAATGTAATGAAATATATATTGTTTCTTGAATTTAAAAAGTAGGTAAATTAATAACTTTAATACTCGAAACAATTAATATAGTAATTAACTATTTCTCAATTAATTATGTTTTCTTGATCCATTTCAGTAATATAATAATAATAGTTATAAACACTCTCTCAGTCACAAGCATAAATTAGAGGAATGTAGATTAAACAATTACAGAGGAGTGAGGTTAATCATCGTAAATTAGTTTCTGTAATTAATATAATTAACCTAATCTGTGTGTACTTTCTCTAGGATTGTTGGAATTGTCAATCACTTCAACAAGATGCATTGGGGGTCCCGTTGCCCAGTCAGTGGATGGGGCTCCCGCTCCCTAGTGAGTGAGCGAAGGTGCAAGCCTTTTCCATGAAGAGTCGCTGAATGATTTCTTAAGTTAATTCATTATTAGATTTAGATTTAGGAATAAAAATTCTTGTATAATTAGGTTTTAGTTTAAAACTAATAATAAACATGCTTTCTTTTGTAATGAGTGATGACAAACAATATGACCAGTTACATCATTGTAACGAGAGAGATGAGTCAGTATTACAATATTATTGACTCAGTTGGATGCAACCTATTATTTGGGTGAATCAGGATAAAATCACACGGATTTCTTCTTTCTCTTTACTGTTTGTGATTGTGGGTTTATAGTTATTTTGGTTTTCGTATCTCTCTATTCGTTTAGGGATTAAATTTTGACTCATGTGGACTCTTGAATGATAATGTAATGTTGTGCCTGCACACTTTCAATATAGTTTCTTACTTTAAAGGAAAAAAAATAAAGTGAAAATTTTCAGAACCGAAATTAATAGTTATAAATAGATTAATTTGAATGATGTTAGAAGGTTTACCTTCTGGCCTCCAATGAAATGATATAGGCAAATATGCAAATTGAATTTTCCTTTATAATCTCTAACAGGGTGACAGTAGGAGGAGATTCTTTTCAACACAGAATCAAAATAACACCTTTGGGAGAAATTAATGTTTTTTTGTTATTGGGTAGGATTTCAAAAATACATATTTGTTTACCTATTCTAAAAATTCAATTTATTTGTTAGCATTTTTAAACCCCTTAGGTTTGTAATTTAACAAAACACCCCAAAAAAGTTTAGAAATTGACAAAAACACCCCCATCCACCCACATTGCCAGATTCCAACCATCACACTCGGAAGGTGGCCAAAATCCAGCGTAATAGAGCACTATTGGTAGGATTTGGCCGATAGTGCGTCGATCTAGCCATTTTCGACCATATCCACGGCCAAACGACCAGATCTTTGGCTGTAGTTGATCCTCAACGATGGCCAAGATTGGCCATCGTTGATGACATAAACGTGGTTAGATCTGGCATTTTTAGGCTAGATCTACGGTGGATATGGCCGAAAAAGGCTATATTGATGCACGATTGGCCAAATCCAGCCGATCGTGCACCATTATAGCGACTTCTGGCCACCCTACGGCGGTGGTGGCCAGCTGTCGACATTTATGGGTGGGGTGGGAGTGTTTTGTTAATTTTTAAGTTTTATTGTCAGGGTGTTTAGCTAAATTAACAAACTTAAGGGGTATTTTTTTTAATTTTCAAATCATACCTTGTAATAATCATCAAACTCAACTTTTTCAAAAATCTTATCCAAAATAATATAAAACAACACACCCATAGATTACCTTGAAGATTACTGGGAATGTTATTTAATTCTTATCCTACCCAAAATTTATTACTCTACCCTTTAGATTGCGTTTGGTTTCGAGAATATTTATACTGAAAATATAGGATTACTAGAAGATTACCTTGAAGATTACTAGGAATGTTATATAATATGTTTGGTTAGATTGAAATAAATTAGTGGGTATAAAAATGAATATGTTTGGTTGGGGATAAAAGAATTATGGAGAAGCCTTTTACTGAATTGGCCTTATTTTTTAATATTGCCCTTTTTAATAATAATAATAATATATATTTTATTAGTTAGATTATTATTTTAATGCCTTACATTTGAGAATTTAGCTAAAACATCCCAGCTATAAAAAAGTTAAAAATTTAACAAAATAACCTAGCCACCCAAGATGATTGCCAGCTATGGGCATGATGTCCTTGATAGGGCATGGTGGGCCAAATCCGACCAGTCGTGTGCCATTTTGGTGACTACGGTGGTGGCCGACGGCCAGCAATCATCTTGGGTGGCTGGGGTGTTTTGGTGGTATTTATGTAAATAGTTTTCAGAATAAGGGCATCACTATGCAAAAATTAATTACTTAGGGGTAAAAATAGTAATAAGATTAAGATTACTGTATGTAAAATGAGGGGCCTTTTGTCCAAAAAATTAATTTATGAGGTTACAGAATTTAGTTCGCACAATTAGGTTAATGTATTTGGTAGACATATGAAAAGATTTGTGTCCAAATGTTTTTAATTAGGTTAAAATTGGTATGAAAATTAGATTATCTCGGTAATCTTTTAATAACATCTCTTGGGTCAGTAATCACATAACCCTCTATATCACCTACAATAATCACTATTGGTACTAGATGATCACTGAAAATTTTTGTTACTTGACAACCAAACAAAGTGATGTCTGGAATCAAACATAGATTACTGGAAGTAATCTTCCTAGACCTTTAACCAAACACGCCATTAATTATAAGGATAATAATAGAAGTAAAGCCAATATATATAAGAGTAAACGACATTTTCCCACCAAGGTTTAGCGAAATGGCAAGTTTCCACCTCGGTTTCATAAATTCTAGATTCCTACCCTTAAATTCAAACCGTTTCGTTTCTTTTAACAAGTTAAAGGCTAAAATAGTCATTACATATTTTAATACTATCATTTATGCAAAAAAACATCTCTCTCTCACCCACCACTAATCGACGTCACCACACCCTTTGTTCATGGCAAGCCAACGGCAAAGCCACCACCTAGCCATTGCCGACACCTACCAAATTTCATACCCCAAAATCAAAACACCCTAGATCCAAATCTAAAACAATTCGAGAATCCAACAACACACAACTCAAATCAATCCAAATTAATAAACTCAAAATACATGTTAGTAATAGATTAGATCTATATTTTAATGAGAATCCACCCCAAAACCTCACATAAGCCATGACCACCGTCGCCGCCACCACCACCCATCCCAAACTCACCGATTCTTTCTCAAATCCTCCTCTCCCTCACTTTTAACCTTTTCAAAATCCAACCACTTCTTCAAAATCCCTTCGCCTAAAAAAGCAAAGCTCAACCACTCCACTTCAACTTCCACGGCATTGTCAACAACAAAAAACGCAAACGTCGTTCGCATCATTGAGGGCCGCCATGACAAATAAATTGCCACCCTCTTGGGGCTAGATGCCAACAACACACAACTCAAATCAAGCAATCGATTGTCTCAATCAAGGGCACACAAAATCAAATCAAGCAATCAATTGTCTCAATGAGATCCAATCAGGCGAGCATCCTGTGAGCAGCAGGCAATGCAAGAAAAGACAAAGGCACAACATGGATTCAAAGAGTTCTCTCAATCTGATGCTTGCGTAATCGTGTGCTTGGGGGGGGGGGGGGGGGGGGGGGGGGGGGGGGGAGTTCTTCACATGATGTCGAGAGAGTTCTCTCACATGACTTTAGTGCACAATTGTGTACCTAAGGGAGGAAGAGAGGAGTGTGACTGCTAGTTAGAGAGAGAAATGGGAGGATGTGGTTGAGGGAGGGAGAGAGAAGTAGCGGAAGAGAAGAAGGGGAGATGAAGAAGAAGAAGAAGAAAATAAGAGGACAACTTGAAAATAACACCTTTGCATTTATGTCAAAATCCAACAGTCACTAACAATGCTACTTTAAGTGTGGAATATAGAGTTTATGAAACCAGGGGGAACTTGCCATTTCGCTAAACCTGGAGTATATATATGCGGTAGAGAGAAGAAAGGGGAGATGAAAGAAGAAGATAAGAGGACAGTTTGATAATAGCACCCTTTGCTCTGTATCAGAATCCAACTGTGACTAACAGTGTTACTTTAAGTGTGAGAATATAGAATTTATGAAACCAAGGGAAGCTTGACATTTCGCTAAACCATTGGTATATATACAAATACGCGTGAGGGATCCATGTGAAATCTGTGTTGGCTAAGTGGTTACCTTTGCCAAAAATATGGAGGAAAACTTGCGTAATACTTGAAGGCATCAAAATTAATTAAAAATAACAAAAAATATTTTAATCAAGACAGTTTGAGATTAGGCAGCTTTATCATATAGCTGACTTGATATTAGATTCAGAATAGCAAAAATGTAAAAAACAAACTTACATTAATTAGAATTTTTTATTATTTAATTAATCTTTGTTTAAGTTATTTGCTGCTGTTATCTTGTTTTGAATTTTTTTTTTTTCAGTATTTTTGTTCTAAATCAATTCTTTTTGTTAAGTTTTAATTACTTGAGTTTTCCATTTTTTCAGAAGTCTTGTTGTCTATGAGACGTTGAAAAAGCGTTTAGAATATTATCATTTGACCCAGAGATTGAATAGACTTGTCGGCTGTCGAGGAAAAGCAAAAAGAAGGCTCTACAAGCACACAAACAAACCCTTGACAATCAAGTTAAGAAGGCAAATGATCAAAGAGCTTTGAGAGACTGTGCTTTGCCTTTGGTGACCAGTACAACTCCAAGCGTAAGGCGACCAATTTTCAGGCAAACAACTTTGAAATAAAAACCAGTCATCATACAAATGATTTAGACATCGGTGATGTTGTTGGAATGCTCAACGATTATCAAACAGTCAAATAGCAAATTTTCTTGAGATTGTGATACTTTCAAAGCACAATAGAGTGTGTTGATGCCATAAGACTACAATTGTTCCATTCTCATTAAGGGACAAGGCAAAAGGGTGGTTGAATTGCTTGCAGTAGGGTCAATCAAAACATGGGAGAATCTAGCCCAAAATTTCTTTGGCAAGTACTTTCCTTTAGCAAAAACAACGAAACGAAGATGCAAAATGACATCGCAACTTTTATTCAAATGGAGCTAGAATCATTGTACGAAGCTTGGGAGAGGTACAAGGATTTATTACGGAAAGTGTCCTCATCATGGCCTACCCCTGGGCTTGTGGTGCAAACTTTTCAACGGTTTTGGTACCAACGATTTGATCAATGATAGACGTTGCAGAAGGAGAACTTTAATGGGAAAAAGTCTTTAAGATGCCTACAGATTACTTGAAGAGATGGCTACGAATAATTACCAATAGTCATTAGAAAGGATATGACATCAGTTGTTGTAACCAAATATAGTAAATATTCTTTTCTAATTAGTTAACATATAGTACGTGCCAAATAGTAATGTTCTTTGTTTAATTAGTTACATATGTACTTGAGATAGTATTTAGAATCATATAAATGTTCTCATTTAAGTGAAAATTGCATATAGGTAAAGTTATTTGTACAAACTCTTACATAAAGAGAGTTATACAAATTGACGTAACATATTATGTAGTGCCACGTGACATGATGAGTCAAATGATATTGATGTGACATTAAATTATGCAGTTTTTAATGTCACGTGACATACTATAACTAACATAGTTTGTACAAACTCTCTTTGTATGGGAGTCTCTACAAATAGCTTTATTCATTGCATATATATATTGCAAAGAAAAGCCAAATAGTACATAAAGTCCTTTATAGTACATAAATGTTCTTTGCTTAATTAGTTAGCATATAGTATGTTGAGAGTATTTAGAATAACATAAAAGTTCTCACTCATAAGTGAAAATTGCATATATATATTTCAAAGAAAAGCCAAATAGTAAATGTTGGTTACTTAATTAGTTAATATATAGTATGTTAAATAGTATATTTGGAATCACATAAAGGTTTTCCTAGTTAAGTGTAAATACATATCATGATAATTCACATGAATTTATTATTATTTATCATACAATTATACAATACAACTAATCAAGGATTGGAGATTTAAAATGTGGATTATTGGTTAATTTGATTATAAATTTCATGAGTGAGTAATATAAATAATTGTGGAACAAGCTGTCAGGATGTTGGTTTCGTAGAATCCTTGAAGCCTTCCCAGTCCTTCAGTGAGGCTCTTTGAGGCTGTTTCATTCTTGCAAGGATTCCCGAGCTGGAACTAGTTCATCGCCCTTGATCTCAAATCTTTTCCATATCTCTCTATGTCGCTTGTTTAAAATCCACGGATTAGGAGATAACAATTGTTGTGTTATCTGATATTTCATAAGCTTTTAGAAGGGGCTAGTTTATCCTTGTAAATGAAGAAGTATCGCTACTTACTGAATAAAGATAAAGCTCATTGCTACTGAGAATATAATAAAAGATAAAGCTCACTATGATAAAAAGTATAAAAAGATAAAGATCATTAGTAATTAATTACATTGACAAGAATATATTAAAGATGAGCTAAACTGTCACATTTTATGTGGAAATTAAAGGCATTATAATTTGTTCTCCATCTCTGTGGGACAGTGAACAAAACCCATGGAGTAAAGCAAAGGTGTTGATCAAGCTTCTCTTTGGACTCTTAAGATCTATTTAGAAGAACTAGAATTGTGTATATCTTGCTAATTAATTCTTTGCAGGCCTTCCAAGCTGTTTTCTAGGGTGAATAAAAGAGGCAGCTTTATTTTTTTATTTACTATGTCAAGCCAATTCGCTCTTGAATCATCTTAAAAAACATAGGAAAAAAATGAATAAAGAAAAACCAACAAACAAAAATGAATTGGTCATAGCCAATGTTTTAAATCGACCCTGGCCTTGACCTAGTCAAGGGGCCAATTCTCGGGGTGGGTGGTCCAAAAAGCCAAAGAGTAGATGTTCTTTGCTTAATTAATATACAGTACGTTGAAATAGTATTTGGAATTACGTAAAGATTAAGTTATATAAGTATATATATAAGGCCAAATAATAAATGTTCTTCACTTAATAGTTAACATATAGCACGTTGATATAGTATAGAATCACATAAAAATTTTCCTAGTTAAGTTAAAATTGCATAACCATTTCAATTCACATGAATTATTATTTAATTATCATACAATCTATACAATATAACTATTCAAGGATTGGAGATTAGATTGAGTGGATTATTGGTTACCTTGATTATAAATTTATACATGGGTAATATAAAATTTTTGCCTAGTTACGCAGGTGCTCTAAAATTTATTAGAAATAAAAAAAGCTAAACTAAAGTGGTTTATGCTTTGTGCTGATTCATGATATAAAGAATAGTAGAGTGAATGACAATTCCCAACTAAGTTTGATTATAAATATTTCAAAAGCCAAAGATATCTCCAAAATCAATCCATAAGATAATTTCCTTGTGTAGTTGAGGTTTTCTCCTCAAACAACTATCTTTCAATAGGCTATAGCCATTTGCTTAACTAGTTGACATATAGTACGTTGAGATAGTATTAGAATCACAAAAGGTTCTCCTAGTTAAGTGAAAATGCATATCATTTCAATTCACATGAATTAATTTATTATTATCATACAATTTATACAATATAAACTATTCAAGGATTGAAGATTTAAATTGAGTGGATTATGGTTAATTTGATTATAGTTTCATGCATGGGTAATATAAGTTATTTTGCCTGGTTATGTAGAGTGCTCTAAAATTTATTAGAAAAAAGAAGTTAAACATAAAGTTAAAGTGGTTTATGTTCCTTGCTTGATTCATTGATAAGAAAATAGTAGAGTGAATGACAATTTCCACCCAAGGTTTGATATAAATAGTTTCAAACTGCCAAAAATATCTCCAAAATCAATGCATAAGATAATTCCCTTGTGTGGTTGAAGTTTTTCTCCTCAAACATCTATCTCCAACAGGCTATAGCTATTTGTGGTATGTCTCTGATTACTCTCTCCTCACTCTCTAAGGTGTGAAGAACTTCAGCCAAGCTGGAGTCAAGTGAGATCGGAAAACTCTCACACTTCCAGGTATATGTATTTAAAATATTGTTAAAAGATTACTAATTCTTGATGATATATGTAATATTTTTGTGTTTATATAAACTTTGGAATTAAGAAGAGTTTCCCATTGCGTTACTTTTCAAGATTTTGTTACAATGGTTGGATATTGACATGCTTGGTTTTTTTGAAACTAGAGATTTCAAGTCAAAATCGAATTAAAATGTTTAAAATGCTTTTTTGAAATTTTAATTTATAAAAGTTGTTGTAGTTTTTAGGGGGTTAAAGCTTAAAACTAGTAAATTTCAAAACTTTATATAATAGATCGAGCCTAGGCCAGGCTTATCAAAGCTAGGCCCGGTTCTGGCCCTTCGGGTATAACATATGCCTGAGCCAGCGTAGGTCGGGCTTATTTACATCTCTAATGTTAATTTTTTATTTATATATATTAATCAAATATTTTTTGTTATATTGATCTTTCAGTAGGTGGACCCAATAAATAATAGCACCCTATATATGTGTAGCCCGCTGGATCACTCCCCACCTGAAACATTACGAGATACAATACAATCGATACAATGATTATGTAAATTACTAAGAGAAAAATTTTGCAAATTTTTGTTGGATGATTTCCATTAATTCTTTTTTGCCTCCATAGGGAAATTATGAATTGGAGAAATGGCGACGGCTTATCAGTTAGCCTTGGACAAGAAGTGGGATGAACTGGAGAATATCTGCAAGCGACAATCGGGTTTTGATTTGATATTTCCTCAAACACCCGACGGGGACACTTTATTTCGCTTGGCAGCGTTCAGCAAAAGTAAAAAAAACGCTTGAAAGTCTCCTTAAAATTGCGAAGTGGATCTATCACAAAGTCTGCATATTCGGCAACGAATATCCACGGAAACACAGCTCTTCATGAGGCTGCCGCCGATGGTAACATGAGGCGATAAATCTCTTGGTGGCACACGATAAGAAGTCTTCAGGTTACAAATAGCGAAGGCGAAACCCCGCCGTCCTTAGGTTACAAATGTCGAAGGCGAACCCCACTGTTCAAAGCTGCTGCATATGGGAAAGAAGAGGTGGTCAGACATTTAGCTCCAAAAAGTTGTACAAATGGAGAGCTGAAAAAGGTTCACCGCAATAAAAAAAAGGCCTGAGACCTCCATTCTGCATGCTGCCATCCAAGGAGAGAACTTGGTCTCTCGCTGATCTCTCCCATGCCTTCTAGCTAGTTTATTTTGCTTAAATTGAAGTATTCAACTGGTGTCTGATGTGCTATTTTCTATCCTAATTTCGCTGCAGAAACGGCTTTAATGTTACTGAAATGGATAAGTCGTTAGGAAACATTAGAGGACGGAGATGGCATAACCAGTCTTGAAGCTCGCTACTATGCCCTCTGCTTTCAGAAGTGGCTACGAAGAGCATGTGGAAAAGACCTCCTTACTTTGTACGTACTGTACGATTTCCACTTCACACTAAAATATATAATAACTGTTTGCATTTAATTATCCTCTTTATAGTTTTCATCTTAATTGTTAATAAAGAAATATGCGAATAAAATGATACCTTCATCCAGAGCTTTATAAGAGTGATTAATAGAGCAATAGTTCTAACTTTAGGGTATTTCGTTGACTAATGACTTTATACTTTATTTTCAAATTCACAGGTCCTCTGATTGATGCAAAACGAAGAATAGGGTTGCCAATACTGAGAAGAATCTTGAAAGATAAGAGAAAGCATAATTGCTTTTAAACTCACCCTGAAGCTGATAAAAAAAGATACACGGGGGTGCAGATTGCTCAAAAAATACTCTTGGTTTTGCCAACACCAGGAAATAGTGAAGTTTCAAAACTGGCTACTGAAAGAGGAATACTAGAGATTGTCAAGGAGATACTTAAACAAACGCCCAGTTGGCTGAGTATATCGATGATAGGAAGCGGAATATGTTAATATCGCTATCATGCACCTCAAAAGGAAATCTTCGATCTTGTGAAAGAGAAGAAATATACCAATGAAAAGTTAGTCCGAGGGATCGACATAGTGGCTGTACCATTTTACACTATGCTGGAGACATGACCAATGATAATGCAGATATTGACCGTGGTCCTGCATACCATCTACAAGAAGAGTTAAAGTGGTACAAGTAAGCGTTCT